TAAATTCCGCTGTAAACTTTGTTCCGTACGGTATATCGAACCCAACAGAGCGTGCCCAAAGCGGACAATATTCTACCACGGGTTGACTGGGCTGTTACAACACATATATTCATGTTTAATATCTTACGGGTTAAGAGCACGCAGTAATTAACTGAGGTCTAATTCATTTGCGACGATCAGTATAAAACGAACTGCTCTTCTCAGGGATCCTGTTCAATACATAAATGTACTAGTGCAACTAATCAGTCAAGACAAACTGTACGGTTGACACTACAACCGTTCATGATGGGGTGTTCATGTCCATCTGGGTTGTGGACCACTTATTCTTGTTTCGCAAGTAACTGATAGTATGATTTTCGGTTCGCCGATGACGACCCACACTATCTAATGCAAAACAACATAAGGTAGAACTTGTTTAATCTAACACGTTTCTCATTCATAAAGGGTAAAAGTGTAATATCATCCAAAGCCAAGCTTTCAGTATATAACACTAACAGGATTGAGCTGTCACATCTGATGGATTCCATGCATACTCATGTGGAGACTCCATTTCTTTTTGCAGTTTTTGTGCGCTGGCAGCCTAATACTAACTCGTTCCACATGTTGTTTGGTGAAATAAATATCATGTTGCCCGATGTTTGGGAGATTTTAGGGGTTCGTGTGGTGGGAGAGATAGTTACAGAGGACCCCGACACTAGCTCTTGCCAAGGTTACTGCATGGAGATGTTGCAGCTCAAGAAAATTGACCTGATGCAATCTTTTGGGCAGCATGGTGGGGTGACAGTTTCTCGATTTTGGTAGTACTTGAGGGGACAACTCAGTCGCCTGTGGATCAGGCTACTGCCTGGGTGTGGGTTCTATTAGGTGCCACTATGTTTGTTGACAAGAGTGGTAGCAGGGTAAGTCACAAATTCCTACACGAGATCATTTAGGACTTGGATATTTTTTAGACTTATTACTGGGTCTTAGGTGCACTGACTTACCTGTATAGAAAGTTAAGTATTGCCAGCAAAGGTGATGCGCAGGGACTTCCTGACTACTTAACTTATCTGCATTCTTGGTTATATGAGTACTTTCCCTGCTTTCGACCCCATAGAGAGCGTTTGGTCACCAGTGATTACTGTATCGCCCGATCTCGCTTGTGGAACATATTTGTGACAGAGAGATCAGAACATCGTCTCACCTCTATTTGTCGGCGCCTTGACACTCTCACCGCTTTTGATGTACGTTAAGTAATTTTATTCAAATTTAGTTAAAAGTTCTTTCAACTAATATAATTGTTTTAATAAATATTTTTATGCAATTGTGAACAGGTGCAATGGTTGCCATACGGCTCCAGCTCAGCTTCGACAGAGTCGAGTACCCTTTATTGCGGATGCCTTAGATACCGCGATATTGTGGAGCCGTACTTGCCTGTCCGGTGTTTGCATCAGCTAAGCTTCGTCTAGACTATCCCTCCTTGCATGATCCATGCAATCAGAGTGGTACATGCTTCGAAGTCTAGGCTTTACAGGGTTGAGTATGTTGATAGTGTTGCAACACCTGTCTGGCACCAGTTCCCAGTGATGTCGCCCGACGACATGACTATTTACACCCCCACCACACATGATCTAGGGGAGACCGATGAGAGGTACTTGGAGTGGCATACCCGGGTTTTCCATCCTACTCTCTTGGGTGACAGTCTGCCAGACGAGCATGCGGTCCCTACGCGCGGCAATATTAATTATGTAAGTCGTTCCTGAATTCTAGGTAATGTTCTTTCATTATAATATTTTATTTAATATATATGTAATCATATATTTTAATTCTCCTAATTTGTGTAGTGGGTTAATTGACTTTTCTCAATTACATCAGACTTCTACTGAGATTGCGAGGGGGTTTCTCCTAGTTTAGCGGCGTGTTATGCAAATATTGTGGCTCGGTGCATGGCGGATTGGGACATAGCGTAGTGATGTTTATTCATTGATGTTTGATTCGAGGAGTTTATTGTTAAAAATTTTTTATATTTATGGTTTTTTTCTTTTATATTTCTTGTTAATTCATTTCATTTTTATCTATTTCCAAATGCTATACTACATTTCAACTAAAAAATCCATAACAATCAATGTATATGTAATAATACATGATTATGTACATCTACATATATAATGAAAGTGATATGTCAATTTGCATTACAAATATTATACCACGATTCAATCATGTTGTGGTAGAAATGCTCCCAACCTGCAACTGTCGTATCTCGTATCTAAACCAATAAGAACAAACAAACGGTATTAGAAAATTAGTAGGCAGGTCCAGACGAATGAAGTGTATATAAGGACCATTATGACAAATGACAATATCTCGTTTTGGTCATGTAGCCATGGATCATGCACGGAGCGACAATACTGTTGTATAATTACCCTTATATCGTCACCATTGCTCCCAAGGCCATACAAAATTACCACTGCATTAAATAGTGTGGCAATAGGAACAGGTTGGGTATAACTTCCATCCAGTGCTCCCTGCCACAAGGGCTCCCTTGTCATCTTATTCGTCTGAGTGCAATGTCGACCTCACTATAATATATAGAAGTGTACATCACACGGGAGCCTTCAACTTCTTTTGCAATGCAATCTCTTGCCATTGGTCACTTCTCCTGGTCGCCATACACGTAATCCGCGAGCACGCAAAATCCGTAGTTGTCATCCGAGACAACATCTAGGTAGCTCCCTACGTAATCTACAATTATGTAGAAAATATGAGATGCAAATGCAAATGTAAATGCAAAAATATTTGTCTGTCTAATCTATGTAACATCAGAATAATTTCACGTCATAATTTATATAATAAAAATTATATAAATAATTCAGTTAACATTTAGACTAAAATATTCAACCCGTTGGTGGGTCAACCCGCCGGGTAGGTCCGAGTTCAATGGTGTATAATATTTTGTGTCGAGATTTTCTGTATTTGGTGTATAACACAGCTGAACGCGGAACGCCTGAACCTCAAGGTGCAATTTTTCTGCGATTCTCTCAGGTAATTTGACTTTCCCTCCATCTTCATTTGCTTGAGATTCTTTATTTGTCTGTTTCAGTTTCTCATCAAATTTACATTTGTTTCCCCTTTTTCTTCTTCGTCTTCTTCTATTGGCAATTCTATGTGTTATGTAAGTTTGATCATATTTTTCCATGGAGTCTGAGTAAATAGAGGTAATTGGCTATTCGTCTTCGTCTTCGTCTGGCATAATTTGAAATTCATGGCTTTTATAGTCGATTTGATTTATGGATGTTAACTCTTTGGGGCTATGGAACACCTTATTCTTTGGTGATCAGTGTTCTGAATTGAGTGCAAAAGGAAGGAAGAATATTACGGCATCGACTCAAAACTTTGCGATGATGCTCGTCGTCACTGTGAATTAAAGTTTGGAACAAGTCCCCTTTTGATAGTTTTGTGTAGGTGATCTTTGGGAGGGCAATTTACAATTACAGGTGAAAAAGAACAGTGGAGATTTCCGTGGAGAGAGATGAGAACAATTCTGTAGTGAATGAACTAGTTTCTTGTTGATCGGCTCACTTGTTGCATAGGAGTTCTTTATATCTGTTTTAGTCCAAATGGATGTCATGCATCTCTATCTGTTTTAACTCATAATGTCCATTTGTGTCCTCCGTAATGTCCAGTCTCGGATTCATGGAAATTGCTCTTAAATTCATTGTGCTGCTGCAAAAAGTGAACATTCGTTTGAAATGTTCAAGAAAGGATGAGGAATGCTTAGCAATTTGCACGGGATTAGTTGCTTATTTTTAATTTTTGGAGAATTAAGATCAGGCCTGAGCATTTATCTGGGTTTTAATTTCCCTGCAGTTTTTAAGGTCTGCTGGGATCAGCTAATAGTTCGCCAGGAACATAATGCATCCCCCCTTATCGATTCACAGGCACCCCATGTGTGCTGAAGTAAGTTCTTACACACATATACATATGTGTGTGTGTGTAGGCGAGCCTGTCCGTGAATTATACATATATATTTGTTAAATCTTCATTTTTGAAGTTACTTTTTTACAAATTGAGGATATATAATCTGACCTCTAATGGTGGCCTTATTGCTATACTGATTGGTCTTGTTCAAGTAAATATGGCTGATGGCTCGGTTGTTACTCTAGAAAATAAAATATATGATTGGCATTATAACCTTCTCCAGACATGTATTTTCAGGTTAGAATTAACTTCGTAACGGGAAATAAAATTTAAAAAGAAAAAAAAAAAAGGTTTTCGATCTCGTATTGTAAGTTCCGAAGCTGGTTCTTGTCTGGATCAAAAAATGGCCTTATTTCCAGTAGTGTTGAAAGTATTGTTTTTGATTTCTTGAAAACAACAGCTCGTTGAATCATATACCATTTTGTACACACAACAGGTTATTGAAGAGTTCCAGAAGTGCCACATCGACCATCCTCTTGGGAAGTTTTTTGGTCACTGCACAAATTTAAAAATTAAGCTTGATAGGTGTTTCCGTGAAGAAGTAAGGCCGAATACTTGAATATTGTACTAGGTTTTTAAATTAAAATTTTCTCCTGATAACTGTGATTAATAAGGACTTCCTCCTTGTGCAGAAAGCTGTTAAGCGGAAGGCGAATTTTGAAGCGAGCAAGAAGTTGAAAGAGAGATTGAAGGCACAGAGGACGGAGAATCGTGTGCTGGGAGATGGAAATAATTTTGCACAAGCATGATTTTGATGAAATTTGATTAGTCTATTATAAAATGTAGCCAGATATATTCATGCATAGTTTTTGGGAGAAGTCGTGTATCATATCTGCTGGGATGCCACTTATCCTTAGACGTGGTATAGATGGATTTCTTAGTCATAGGGATAGGCTCATATGCTCAGACTTGTAACCTTTTCATCTTGTATTATTGTTCAGAACGTAAAACGACATCGTAGTGTAATAACAAACAAGTAGAAACAATCGCACATATAGGTTGATCTTACATATCGTTGAAGGAAACCACAACGATCAAATTCCAATTTCTTTCATTCTTTTTTTTTTTTTTTTTTTTTTTTTTTTTTTTTTTTTGATCAATAAATTTAAATTTATAGATAAAAATGGTGATCTAACGACAGACAAACGACATACAAAAGCGTAGTGGGCAGCCACATGCTCGACTTTTCACACGCGAATCTCGATTTAATGGTTCTGATAACACATGAGGAGAGATGTCTGTGGTAGTAAAAACAACTACTAGGTTACATACAACCTACACATGATGTGGAAATAAAAGAAAAACCATCAAAATTTTAACCTAGCCTAAATGATGTACAAGCGTATAAAGATTTATCATCATTAGATAATAGGAATAAAAAGAGAGCATTGGACAAGATAAAATAATATAAAATTAATAGTATCATCGAAATTGAAGGTCATGAGAGAATTGACCGTCTTGAAAAATATAAGTGCTAAGATGACATCAAAAACAAAAAGAAAGAAAATAAATTATGCAATCAATACAAAAATAAATTAATTCATTTATAATATAATTACGTATTTATTCAGCAATTTCACATTCTTTTAATTAGAGACATTTTTTTCATCTATTTTATTTTAAGAATAAATGTATTATTTAATTATCATTATATTAAGACTTTATTATAATATTTTATTTTACTTTGCAAGAGAGATCCATCTTATTATTCGGTTTGCGTGATTCCTGCAATAGCATGTATACTAAGTCAATCTCTTTTTCTTATTATAAAAATTAATCAGCAACAAAATTAATAACCACGTGCATCACACGTGCACTTTTGAATTTTGACTCTGGGATAATCTTTTCGCTAGTAAAATTCCCCGGTTATTGCATTGGTATAAGAACAAAAATTAAGGCGATTTTTTTTTTTTAAAAAAAAATCTTTTCGAAAATATTTGGTAGCCGTGACCTCTCCAAAACTTGGGGAGAGCTGGTCACCTCTCCTTTTAGTACATATAATTTCTCTATGGAGCCCTCGATGATTTTTCTTACGAAGTCATCCTCCTACATGGATCTTATGTGGCACACACATGTGTCTTAAAATAAAATACATGTGTAGTTATTTTTCTTTCGATAAAAGAAAATAAAAAAGAAAAGAACGCAGTTATTCTCAAACCCGCACGCACGCAGTTTTCTCTGGAGATTATTCTTCTCATTCTTCATCTTCATCTTCATCTTCTTCTCACCAAAAAAGCATACTCTCTTCTTCTAATTGCCCCAAAAACACACCACAATCTTCGATCTTTGAATTATTCGATCAACTAATTTTCATACAAGGATTTTCTGAAAATCTATAAGGTAATCTTTATTAATCAACTAATCTTTGTTGTCGTGATTTTAGATTTGTTGTTATTATTAATGTCATTTAGTATATTTTTTTTTTACATAGGATTGAGATTGAGCAAGACGAAGCGTTCATACAACAAGTTGATCGTCGGTCAAGCCTTATATAGAACATGAATTTCGATCGGTGGAAAAAGCTCTTTGTTTTTATAATGAATATGCTAAAGTTACAGGATTTACAAAAAAAAAAAAAAAAAAAAAAAAAAAAAAAAAAAAAAAATATTAAACAGCCAAAAAGATCCAAAAGTTGGGACAATTTTGGGAAAAATGTTTCCTTGCTCTAAGGGAAGACAACTGTGTCGTATCGAATCAAACGAGGCGCAGTGACAGAAACTAAGGAACGGAAGCGTGGAGAGACTCATTGTAACTGTCCAGCTCAAATGAGTGTCGGAAAATAAAATTAAAAAAAAAAAAAAAAAAACTTGGGTGGTGAAGCATTTTGTAGAAAAACACAATCATCTGCTCAATACTTCTAGGAAGGTTCGCTTGTTGAGGTCTCATAGATGTGTGTCAGCCACAAAAAGAGCTCTTGTCCAGGAGTACACGGAGGCAAATATCCCCACACGCAAACAAGTTAGATTATTTGAAATTGAGTTTGGTGGCGAAACTCAATTGATTTAATAATTTGATTAAATCTTGGGAATGAAATTATAAGTCGAAACTCAATTGATTTGATCTTTGGAATGGAATTAAAAGTCGAAACTTAATTGATTTAATAACTATGATTTCATTTTAAGTTTAGTGATTCATTTCCACATTCATCTCGTCTTGGCCAATGTCTTTGAATCAAAAACTATGAAAAGCATAAGAAATTAATTTATCCACATAAATGTCGAGTTCTATGTTGGCCACAGAGAAACTGCCATACACATTGATACAGTACACAACATATCTATTTTATGATTGTCTAGCTATCAAAGTATGAATGAAAGTAAAGCACAACATGCACAAGATTACAATCGTGCATCAAGTCAGAGGATCAATCATGTACTACTGCAACATGAAAATTCTTATTCGACAGTTAGAAAACTTGCAGCTAAGAACTTTCATCGGGCCATGTTCAGTGGACTTGTTCCCCAACAAGCACCCGCATATATGCATTTGCATCCACCCGCTAATGTTGATGGAATGCAACATCCTCGTCTGACGAGCATGCATCATATGCACGTGTCTTGTCGGGTTATTCAGTGACCTGTCTCAAAACACTCATCGACTTGGAAATTGTTTAAGATTATAGCTTTAAAGACATGTTCCATGATTGTCATCAAATGTGCAACCATGTCTCATAACTAATAATGTCTAAGGACTTTATCATATGTGCAAACATGTGATAAATGCAAATTTGATAAATGCAAAGACATGAGATAAAAAATGTCTCAAAATAATATAATTTCCAATAAACTTTCTTTACAAGAAAAAAAATTCAATCAGATTGAAACTCTGGGTATTCTACTCTAATAATAATTTTTCCTTTTCCTTTTCTTTGTTGTCGTCATCCAGACAAGAAGTAGTCTTACAGTTAGAAACAGAGGTCGTTAGGTCGTTAGGAAAGTGGGCTTCAGGTCTTTGGCCATGATGACCAGAAACTTCTCCTCAAAGACCGACAGCGCCTTGTATGTGTCTGTTTATTTGAGGTGTGACGGAGGGTAGCACGTTTATATAGAGAGTGGGTATTTTCAAATTGGTGTATTATTAAAGGTGAATTTAATATGATGTGTATTATTTAAGGTGTGACGGAGAGTAACACTTTTATATCATGTGTATTATTCAAGGTGAATTTAAGTATTATTTTTTGGAATCTTTTTCTTAGTAAGATAGAAATTAAAAAATATTTCTACTAGTATAATATTTATTTTTGCTTAGGGAATATATTTTAAATTGAATAAAAATAAAACTTGTAAATAATAAAAAAAAAAATCAATATCACGTGCGTCATACGTGCAACTTTGACTTTCTAGTCAAAGAGAAATGTGCGTCCTTGATTACTCGACCAATGCTAATTATATGGCTGAAATTAGAAGCCAAATTAGTTTCAACACTTTGCACAAAATAATTTGCTTAAGATCTCTCGACATATAATTTTGTCTTTCTTCAACTAATGCCAATATCTCTCTTGCGCACGATATTCTCAATCATTTCATATAAACTAGTGTTGTTACCCGTACGATGCACGGGATACAATATAAAAAATATTTTTATTAAATATTATTAAATTATTTAAGGTAATATGTCAATTTTATTCGACACAATATCAAGTCAATGATAATATAATATTTATTTAAATATTTCATTTTTTTCCAGTTTATTTTTGTAGGTATGAATTTAATTGGTTATTAGTTTATAAAATATTATAAGTGTAAGATTTAAAATATAATAATTGTATACCAATTACTTATAATTTTTTAGCAATTCATATTTTTCATATTACTTCGATAACTGACCAACATTTAATCCATAAAATTAATTTTTATTTATAATTACTCTAATTGCATGAAATACTAACTTATGATAATTAATTTTTAATTTTTAGTAATTTTTATCTCTTGTGCAACAAAAATTTTTTATGGTAAATATTTTATTTTGTATTTTAATATTTTTTATATATTTACTTATTTAATTCATTTTCCTCAACATATAGATTAATTTAATTAATAATAAAATTTAATAATTTTATATTCTAATGACTATAAAATCTTATAATTTCAATTATTACTTGGCTACATAATTTTATTTACTCATTGTTCTTTATAAAATGATACTCATAAAAATTTTATTTTTTAACACCTTGAATAGTGTTTTTGATGTATATAGATATTTTAATAGAAAAATTATAATTCTTAATTTTACTCGACCATAAACAGATAATTTATTAACATATATTCATTAGATTTTAGTTTATTCATAATTAAGTGACTACATTTTATAAAGTTTATTATTATTTTAAATTATTCATTAAGCAAATATAATTCAAACATAATAATTTTCATTATTTTATTATTTATTTTAAGTGTTTTTGATTGATGAACATAATTCATGTCAACAACCATGAGATGATAACAAACTAATCAAAATATTTTTTATTATAATTAGTAATTTTTTTAAAAATATGTTAACAAAATTACTATGAAATTGGTATTATTGGTCTTATTGAAAATATATTTAATCAATCAATCATTTTATTTGTGTGTGTGTGTGTGTGGTTGTCTATATATTTACTCTTGATTTTTTTTATTTACCCAAACGTCAAAATAAAATTTGTACTAATACATTTATATATTTGGATATATTATTAAAACAATTAATTTATCTTCACAAATTTTGCTTCAAGCAATAATTAGTTTAAATATTTTCAAAGTTGTTAATA